GATGTTTTATATCCTAAAGCACTCAGGAATGTTGTAGCTATCTATCAGTGAAAGAATTTTGACAATCCGATCAGCGGTTCCAAAGATTACCCCCTACATACAAACTTACAAATTTTACCTCTTCATAATATTAGTATAGATGAGTACCTACGGCTACCTCAATAAGCGAATTTCGAAATCGGTGCGACCGGCGCGGCGTGCTTCCATCTCATACTGCTCGAAAGATGTTATCGAGAGTGTGGGAGAGCCATGCTTCAGCACGAATGGGTCGGCTCGACCGGAGTGATACCACGGCCTCACAGAAAACCGGCGTGAAACAACCACAGCGTTGTGTTTCGCCGTGTGAGTGAGGTTACTGGAGGCCCAATCCTTCCCCTTCCCGGACCCTTCCCCAATCCCTAAATCTCCAAATCCCTAATCCCTAAAAGGTCGGCAACGCACTCGTAACTCCTCCGTTGCGGGTGTCCATGGGCGGCGTTGATTGCTTACCATCAGGTAATCCGTCTGCTCGTTTGCCGACTTATTACATTAAAAAAAAAATCGAGAAACCAGGGCTTAATAGCTTTCACCAAAAAATCGTCTGTTGGCCAAATAACGAGGCTGAAAACCGAAGATGTGATTGGTTATCAATCGTGAAAACCGGAGATTCTGAGAGAGCTCGAGAGGTTCTACGGACAGTTGTAGGTACTTCGCAACACAAGAACCCATTGTCGGTACGGTTTGGAACCCAAGAGCTACATTGAGGATATCCCAGTCATCAGCCTGTAAGACATTAGAGTGGTTCTCGAACAACTTACAAACAACAAGGCATTGGGCGATGATGAAATCACAACAGAACTATTGCGAATGGGGTCCGATACTTTTAGTCTTGCGTGTCAGTAACGAGCATTGAAACAAGGACTAGCAAGGTATAGGAATAATTAAGACATAAGTAGGGTAAATAAAAGAACAAAATTGATTTGTCTATATTTATTTATCGGAACAATTCACTACTTTGTATGATATGAAACCAAACAGTTATTTTGGCATTAAATATCGAAAAAAAAATGTCTATTTACTAAAATTGCACATCTAATAAAGACTACTACTAAATGTAACACTAATTCTATTTTAACAGATAATTAATCATAACAGACCTATAAAGAAAAACGCAGAAGGTAACAATTTTTTTTAATAATAATAATAATATAGATCACTCTATCTTGAATATCACTGAGCTGACAGACAAAAGTGTGTATAAAATGTGAAAAATACAAAAATAACAAAATAAATAATCGCGTAAGTAAATATTGTAGGTTTATGTTTTTGTTTTCATACTTGTCTTTTAAACTTATACATAATATTGATATTGTTATAAAGAATATTATATAAATTATTGTAGGCAAACCAACGTTTAAATACATAAAATGTATTTCTTTTTACATTTTCCATAGAAAATAAATAGATGTTTTTATTCGTCGCAAGAAAGGAGTTTTAAAGAGTTGTACCATAGATAAAATTAACTAGAAAATATATGCATAGACAAGCAATATTACTCCTGTATTAGTTTTTTCGGCAAGAATACTAAATTGTACTAGAAATTGGTTTAGTGCTTATTCTTTTACCTAACATCTAAGGCAATTTGGTCTATTATATAATATGTAAGTATTATAAGTGGGTATTTAAATATTAACTATAAAAACAGCTTTTATTTACCAAAATTTGAAAGAAAAACATAAAATCAATTTAAAAAATGACAGAATTTTATGTCGAGTCGAAATTTAAAATACGTAAAGTAAGACATTTATTGAAAAATACGCGTAAATCTATAATTTATTGTGGTGTCATGGACATGATAATTAACTTATGCTAAGGGAGATTGTGTTAAAATATCGTATAATACAGGTGTTCTATTAATATACCTACATCATGTTTATATTTAGATAATTTGAGATTTAATAGAATTTGCGGAGTCAATAAATACACGAAAGGGGTAAATAGATATTGGCGAATGTTCCTAGTACCTATTCACCCCTCTTCTGCGTCTATTCACCTCTCGAATTCTATTCATCCCATTTCACCGCATTCGAAATTATTAAAAAGGCAAAGTATCCTTCTGAAACATTCACATAGGTCCTTGTAATAGAAAAAAAATGGTGTTATTTATAACCCAAACGCATTAAAAAAACTATAGGTACACGTTATATACTTTGTATAAATAATGTTCAGTGTGGCCGATTTCGAAAATATAGGTAGGTACCTACGCACATAGAAACACCTGCATTTAAAAACATAAAAATAAGTTTAATTTTTATATTAAATCTATCAACAAACTATACATTTGCAACATAATTATAATATTTTAAACTTATATATAAATATATTACTCTACAACTTATCACAATAATTTGTGACTTAAAAAATAAATATTTTACAATAACGTCAACGTGGAAGACATGTTTGATTCTGTTGTTTAATTACGTACTCTACAAATAGGTACGATTTATTAACTTACATTTTATTATGCGAATATAATATTAACTTAAAATAACTATACTATAAAATTGATCAATAAGAAATTATACTTCAAATCGATATTTTTTTTCAACAACTTTTTTTCAAAATTTTATTTAAGTATAAAATTTGTATAGGTACGAAAATAAATATAGGTATTAATTTTTGAGCTAAATATCATTGAAATATAATTTTCTTATAGCTCATATAACGCCGTATTTATTTATATTCACTAACTTCCTGTTGAAGTTCTGGGGCTAATAAAATATTTAATAACATCGTATAAGAACTCTGAATTTTTAAAGTTTTTTTTTGCGATTATAGATATTTGCTTTGGAATATCATAGATACTTTATACAGTATTGGCAGATTAAGAACAAAACGATATCGTTTGCCCATAAATATTTATTAAGTACTTAGATACTCTTTTCGTTAATTCTTATTAGCTACTTAATTAACTTTAAGACTATTATTGAACTACAAATCTTATTCAAATTTGAGCAAAGTCGAGCTTCTTAAAAATCGAGCAAAAATATCGAAAATATTCAGTGATGTTCCGTCAAATAGAATTGAATTTTAAATTCTACTGGCCTGTGACATTCATATGTAAATAAAATTAACTTAGTAAGTAAATAGTTTGAGATTTATTAACCAAATATTTCTTTAATAAACTCCTCGAAAAATACAGGAACACGAAGAGCATTGCAAGTAATATTTAATTAAATCGATCCCTTTTTTTATATATTAATCTTAATATTTATTATTCTACAGTCAATTTTGGCTTGACAATAATCTTAGTTAAATCATAAAAATAACTTTAACTTTAATAATATTGTGAATGAGCAAAAAGTAACTTTCTAATATATAAACCGAAGGTATTTTTTTAAATAACATTCGAATAAAATATAATTTATTTAAAAAATCAGCTCTAGTTCTTTTTTTTTCTTTAAAATAAAGGGGTTATTCTTATAAATTATGGCATATTTCTGGTTCGTATTAAAACTAGTTATTATTGCTATTCACTAATTGAGCGTCGACTTAATCTTAGTTAACATAAACTCAATAAAATTATATATTTGGTTTAATTTATATAAAAAAAACATAACTAAACAGCACCTTTATATCACTGTGGTACATTCGTTGTTTATGATGGATGGACACAGCTTAAAAATACAAGAAAAAAAATATTTTTGAAAACGTCAAGAAATATAGATAAGCGAGAAGTTAAGAAAAAATATTTTTTTTTTAGAAGTATTAATAACATGAAAAAATAAAGTTTAGAGAAGTACAAAAGATTGTAAATAAAGCGAAAATATAGAATAGGATACGAAAGCCAGATTTTTTTTTGTGAAAAATTAGCAAACAATGTTTAGTTTTCCATATGGTCTATCGATTTAGGTGGTTAACAAAGCGTAAATAATCTTGGCATGTCTTTTTTATATTAAAGACGTCGTATAAAATACATACAAAGATTATTTAAATTTAGTTTATTAGCTAACATCGATACAGGTAAATGCCTATATTTGTAAACATTTTTACATTAATATTTTTAGGCAGTTTAAAAAGGTAGAAAGGTTTTTTACGTTTAGTTAATTACCTAGTTCGATAGACTAGTATTTTTATGCTGTGCTTACATAATATGAGTTTCAGTAATAAATATCAGATAGGTAGGTATCGAAGCTATGAAGAGGAACTTTCCTAGAGTGATTTTGGCCTTTTTAACAGCGTTTTTATTTTCGTCTCTAAACGAATGTCATAAAATAAGGCATAATTTTCAATACCTCTTTTCATATAAACTATTATTATAACTTAATAACTCTTTAATTAAATCTAAAAACAAAAAATAAAATTTTAATTTTCTATATTATACTAAGATTCGCTATAATATCTGTAAGATCAACGATAAGTAGATCATTATTTTTTTTATTACACTTTTAACAAAATACAGATAACATATTATTTGCAACAAAATATTAAAAGTATATTATATAAGTGTGCCTATTTTATATATATTATAACTTTTTAACTTTATATCTTAAAAACTCTCTTAATTTTTAAGCTATTCCAATGATTTTACAAATTATGCTAAAATGATCAAAGGAATGTTTTACTATAAATATATAAATAAATATATTCGAAATACTTGTTTGTACAACGCTATGAAGGAGTTTCACTTGTTTTTTTTTTAATAAATTAATATATTTATCAGAAAAAATATTTTATTAAGTTTTGTCTCTGGTCGAAAATTTTTAAAGTACTTATTTCTATATTTTTTTAATAATAGATAAAACATAACCTCAAAACTAGATCAAAATAAAAAAATAACAACCGAATTTTAGATTGACAAATAAAACTCATTCATATAAATAATATTAAAATATATAAAACATATATTAAAGTCCGAATATATCTAGTCTTCTCTAGTTATAGATAGTAATTAAAATCTGTTATAACTATTATAAATATTGTATTACATTTTATAATTGCCTTGAGCGTTATTCGTTGTTTTAGTTGACCATAAATATAGGCCACTCCGGGCAGGCGGCTGGTGGTGGAATAGGGATTGGGGATCCACCCCCCACCGACACTACTTCGGGTATCTGAAATTAATATCAAATTATTTAAGATAAGTATAAGTTATTTTATGAAGGATATGCGCATGAATTAAACTTGCGCGAATGTAGTTCTTTTTTCATTCTTTTCTAGCGTAAGTAGATATTATTTCGGTATGGATTTTTTTTTATTTAATAGGTCGGCAAACGAGCAGACGGATTACCTGATGGTAAGCAATAAGCGCCGCCCGTGGACAATCGCAACGGAGGAGTTACGAGTGCGTTGCCGACCTTTTACGGATTAGGGATTTGGAGATTTAAGGATTTAGGAGGGATTGGGGGAGGGGAAGGATTGGGCCTCCGGATTGCCGTAGAATGGCTCGGAGAATGAGAAAGAACATTTTTAGTCATCCTACTCGCTCCACTGAGGGTGGGAGAAGCAGTTGGATATCACACTAATTATGTTTTTACCCCCACCCCTCCTCCTCTTCCTGCTCTAAGCTGAGGCCGCAGTGCCTTATTGCGATACGGCTGAACGTCAGTCCTATAAATGTCCCGTCTGTATCTTTCACCCTATGAGTCTTATTCACCCAGTTTTACAAAACTAAACTTATAACATACAGACAAATACAGGATGTTTTATTTATATCCTAACACGCAGTTTCTGAAAGGATTGTCAACGCTAAAATTAACTAATATCCTGTTAAATCTCTTGTCAAGTCATCTGATTGGTTGTTGATAATTCAGTCAACCAATCAGATGACTTGACAAGAGATTAAATTGATTTTAACATTGATCGGCCTTTCGGAAACCGGATGTAAATGTTATAACGAAAGGTAAAAACTCAAAAGTTATAGGTTCTCTTAAAATGGTGATAGAAAGAAAGAAAAGAAGAAAGAAAAATATATTTATAAGTAGGTCTTCTTAAAATGGTGGAAGGCTTACCATAGTCTGAGGGTGATGCGGAGGATGGTAATAATGAGCTGGCGACACCGGGGGCGTTGGGTAGCCCCAGTAGACCAGCGGCGGTGGTGGCAGCGTCGGGCCCATCGTCGGATAGTAGTACGTCAGCGGAGCTGTCACACATAATCAAAGAAAAAAATCAAGAAAATGTATTAAAATAAAATTACAATTTCGCTGGAAACTGGCAAAATGATTGTGATGTTTAGAACGAAGCATAAAATCTTTATGAAGATTAGTGTCTAAATGTAAACTAGAATCTTATTCTTTGTCAAGTTAATTCAATAAGTAGTTACATATAGGTTTTTTTTTCTAATCTATTCGTCGACTATCTATCTATTTCTACTTTGAATGTGTTACTACAAGTCTACTGCCTAAATTAAGTTTTTATTCATTAACGCTCTTCGAACTGCCATAGAAGACCAAAAACTAAATGAAAATAAAACAGGTCTAAGTAACAGATATAAAAAAAAATACTTATTAGACGCATATTTGCCATACTCGTATCAGAAAAAAAAAGGATTTTTACTACCCAATTAATTAGTTTAAAGTCAAAAAAAAAAAAACGATTTTTACTAAGTACTTAATTAATTAGTTTAAAAGTCTACAATGCAGATAATAAAGTCTTACGTACTTTTTTTTTACGTAGGTTTATATTCTATTATTCGTACGATATTTCAAATCAATAAGTGGTTTTAACAAGAGTCCAAATGTGACTTGAAACTAGTAGAGTAGGTAGTCTTTCAGTTTATATTTACGAAGTCGTTATATAGTCTGTAGTTTAAAAAAAATACGCGCCCTATATAGTTCATTGATCTACTATTAAAAATATAATATAATCTCCCTGATTTATAAGGTCAATCCACTCGTTTTATCTTCTATAGCAGTTGACAAAAAGCTTAATATTATACGTAATCAAACTACTCTAAACATCTGCGAATGACATCAAAATATTCGTAAACAAATTGCGGAGATTCTCGTCAGACAAGACAGTCTAATGAATCAGTAATATTTTACTATTTTTTTATATAATAATAATAATATATAAATCATGCAAATTGTTAGTCACACTGTATGATTATAATCCCTAATTAAATTAAGATTCTCAATGATTATAGGTACAATTATTTTATTTGTAAATTCTGCTGTGCAATTCATACGACGACGTGCAGAAAATTTTTAATATTAAAACATTAATGTTACAATTGTTTTGTGAACAGAAATATAAAATTATTTCTTCACGTCGCGTTGCGTTTGTAAAACACCAATAATATATTCTTATCCCATTAAATTTAACCCAATATATGCCTATATGATAGTCCCATACATGTATATTATTGTGATACTAAGTTAATACTAAAATGCTTAGCGATTACGAGTATAATACGAATTGTAAATTCGAAGGAAAAGCTGAGCATTTTGTGCCATATAACGTCATTCGATACGGACAGGGACGTACACAAATTATGTAGGTTAGGATTTTAGATGTGGATATTTGGCGAAAATATAAGAATTACCACAATATTCAGAAAGAAAGATAATATGTAAATACATTATATTATAATAAAAATAACGAAAAGTCAACCAGTAACCCGATTCCGAAGCCGAGAAGCCCAAAAGCCGAGTATCCGCCAACTCGCAGGTACTTTCGCCGAATACCCACAACTGTCTTAAGTATGTAATTATTAAGAACAAGATGAACAACTCACCGGGTCTCTGAACGCATTAACACTTCACCAAAGCAGTGCGCACTTACACCAATACTCTGTAATGTTACACACGTCGTTGTTGCCGCCAACCACCAAGCTAGTCTGCGGACTTTACTTAACTTATGCACGCCTAGTACCTAACCCTAGTACTTTTAGCACCAATCATTTACGGCCTCAACTCGTTCAAAGGGAAACAGACAGTTATACAACCAATTATAATTTATAAATCAATATTTATAGAATAAAAAATTATATATACCCGTATTATAAATTATTAAATGGAAACGCAATTGAGGCCGCAATAAATGCGATAAATCAAGAATAAGATAGAGTTTATTTCATGTGATCCCACAACAAATGATAGATAGATACTTACGCTCTCATGTTAAATACACTGGCAACACTGTGTGCCCACTATTTGACCCAGCCTCTAGTGGGGAACACCATACACCCATTGACCTACCTCTAGTTAAGCACAAAAATTTCTTCTACAACACACTAAGCGTCGAAGTCCCTTGGACATACGTCATTTTAATTCTGTCATTGGTCCATGCATTTTTAAAGCATAACAATGTTGTGTCGTTTCAACCTTTGGGGCATAGCGAGCAGCTACTTTGAGTTCTAAGCAGATATCAATAGATTTCAATTTTTCCAAGTATAAAAAAAATTGAATTTATTTAAAAAAAGAATTATTATCAAGAAGAGCTAACGAACTTTAATAAAATAGCAATATTAAAAACAAAAATGTAAACTTTATTTTAAAAAATGTTACTAAAGATTGACATTTAAAATGTAAAAAAATAAGTAGGTAATTATTATTATTTTTGTAATACCCGACTATGCCCCAGTAATTTTTATTCTATGTATATTATCATGAAGCCTGTGCTTATTGTGTTCGTTATATCGGGTTTATTATGTCCCAAAGGTTTGTACAAAGTCTTAAGACGTACAAGGAACGTTAAAAGCATTAGGATGAGGCATGATTGTGCTATGTATCTGTTATCTTGTGAAGGAAAAGTTAAACCAGAAGGGATGTATACCTAACAAGATTACTTCTAAGTTAAATTGTGCAACCTATACTTCGTTTCCAAATCTATAAAGGCAATAAAACTATCCATTTCACTGATCAATTGAAGCGATGCCCTGACAAATGCTTTTTATAAAATATTTATGATTATTTTGCCATATATATCTTTTGATTTCTATTGTACACATCTTCATGTATGTAATATTTATGTATTTTTGCTCCTTTGAAATAGAATCTGTACATGGTATGCTTATTTTTCGGTCTAAATTGCATGCACAACAATGTGCATCGCAACGCCGGGACCCCCTACGAAAAGTGTATGAAATTGTGTAATATTTTTCCGTTGTTTTCTTTTTCTACGTAATAAATAAAAAACTTACCAATAACTCTTTTTGCCCACTCACCCGGAAGTGTGTTAGTACAACATATAAAGACGATACTGTACTGTAGCGGAGACAGATCAAGCGATCGAGTGTTAGTTCAACCATTCCTTCACAAGTACCTTTGCTATCTACGCGACGAAGCTTGGATAGACTAGGATTATGAAACTGATTTTTCACACAACAATACTTATTATTAAAGAAAATGTTTTATAATGGGTAACTATAGTGTAGACATAAGATTATGATAAAATAAATCGTAAGTACATTATACCCAAAATAAAACTTTTCAAGTTTTGAGAAGAGATTAGGTGAACTTATGATGAAAAAATCAGATCCATTCCATTCCCGACCTTAGAAATAGTACATATAAGAGACAATAGCACAACCACAAACCAGAGAAACTCGCAATTATCATCTAACATGTAAAGTTACCTTTTATTACTAATCTCAATACACTATATTTATCCAACTAAAATTATAATAAAAAAAACCATCATGATTCTAACAAGATGAGACAAAAAAACTCTGTAAAACGAAAAAAACTTAGTTCTATTCAATAAAACTACATTTGAATATGATTTTCGGCTTCATCATCAATCAATTAAGGCGCATCGAAAAAGTTTGCTTTTAATATTTTTATGGAATGATAACACTGTGATCGAAACGCTTTGGCAGTTCAAATTGTGACCCGTGACGTATGTCTACATTATAACGAAAGAAAATATCCAACATCCTCACACCACGTCCCCCAGTCACTACACACAAGAATATTTCAATAAAATTTAGTGCAACAATGAGAAAAAACATGTCTTTGTGAGTAAAACAATTCGATAATTGGTGATAACTTGATTAAGTACATACGTCATGCACTAAAAGTTATAAAAATACTTCTTAAGTACAACGATTTCATAATTTACTCCATAACAAAATAAAGTAAAGCGTAGTCTTTAAGATAGCAGGAGAAGAAGAAGCTGTGATATAAAAATTGCGTGTTAATGACTGGAGGAAACAGAACCCTTACCAAGACTGAATATGAACTTTAACTCATGATACTATGTAGGATTTGTTTACTACAAGTTATGGAAGCACAATGCATAGATGTAGCTCTAGGAGAAACTTCATATCGTCACTTTAGCGCCGTATTAGTAACTTACAAATGCATTTAATGCTATTTCAGTGACCCATCTCGAACCATAGTACCAAGATAAAGTTACAACCGAGTACATAATTTTATGAAACAGTAACATATAGTTTCGTTAACGAAACTGGTTTGTATCCGACCGCGATGTGCTTTGGAAAACTACGGAAGCTAAAACATCGGATTATATTTTGTCAACACGAGCCATGCAACCCTTTTCCTTAAATATAAGCGGTTCATGCTACACCCTTAATTTTTAATTCGATATACGACATCTTTTTGCTTTTATTACAAATATTATATTATTATATAACGTGTGCAACACTTACCGTTTCTGATGGGTTTCATGCACATTTTCCATAACACAACCCGACGGATACACCATTATACAACAGTTTTTTTTATATATAACCATTAATAAACACAGTATTGCATTGTAAAATAGACTGGATCGTAATTCCAGCAACATGGATGTTAAAAATGGAGTGAAATAATTGATTTTCTGATCCATGTCGTAGGAATTACAATCAGTAAATAATATTTAGAAATGACAGAACAAATATTAGCCTTTACACCGTGTACTTGTGACTAAAGCCCCGTACCTATATTTGTGATTATTGAGACAATGGCGACACCAGATAAAATGAAAAGTTAACTTTTCAAGTATAAATTGTTCCATTATACAAGTCACCCGATTTGGTTTACATTCCCGAGACGGACCAGCTACAACGACGAATATTTTTAAAAAGGATTTTGACTTTTCAGACTTTCGTTGTTCTTGTTATTGTAGTGCACTATTTCGGAAATATACACCAAATAAGTAGCAGTAAATTATAATTTTAATGTAGACTATACTATGTGGTGTGAGGTACAGACGATGAGGTTAAGCTAAGTGATATAACCATGGGTTATTGAGTGATTTAATATGGTAAATTCTGGAATAAGGATAGAGGAGTGGGATACTCAAAGGACTGCGGCCGTCTTAGACTATTTCCGTCTTAAAACACACTTAAATTTATGTATATAAAGTATTTTTTAACATTTGTCTAAAGCGATAAGAAGACTTTTTATCAAATATTAAATTACAATAAATTAGATTTGTTGTGTTATATTGATTTTTAACGATTCTTTTTAGCGAACGGTCGCGACGTTTGTTTTCTAAATAAGTACATCTATACAAGAAAAACGAAAAGCTGTTTTAGTTACGATTTCATAAAAAGTAAAACGCGATGTAATCGATTGATTTTTAAATAAACCTAAAACAAATAGTATATAATTATTATTACTGCAAAAAGTAAATGAAGCCGTTTGAATTCACGAAAAAACTATCAATTCATTTTGCATATGATTTTGGATTATGACTATGGTAGAAAAAACACTATTATTAACTAAAAAAAATATGTGTAAACTAAGCACGAATGTGTACACACGCATTGTACTCAAACAAACAAAAACAAAACTTTAAGTAACTTAACATTTAAAGAGCTTAAATATAAAAGGTCGTGAAGCAAACATACTGCAATCACCAATATTTAATATTAGGTACTCATATTTGGAATGTATTTATTTTATTAGCTGATTATCAAGTACCCCGAAACTGATATTTTCTTCATAGGTTTTGTAAAACAACAATTTGAAAATAGATGACAGTTTGGGGCAGCTTGAGTTTTCCCTAAACCAATAGAATTTGTAATTGAATTCTATGTACTGTCAAATAACATTTCGTTTAGTTGCCACATTAAATATTTCTGAATAAATATCAATTAGTTTTCTGTAAAATTCACCAACACTTGATTGAATTTTGTGGTGTTTTGTGCAATACATGAGCTTCGTACGACGATAAGTACCTAACACTTTCTCAGACTTTAAATATCAGCCTTGAAAAATTGGCAAAACATTGTCTTTTCATAATGGAATGTGTTATATTTAAAAAAATCACAACGACATCTAATCACACTGTTTGGGGGCTGCCATATTTAAATTTGCAATGTCACTTTTCGAATTTCGAATGATTTTTGACTGTAACCTTTTTGGAAGTCTCAGACCAATAAACCTTTAATCTTTATTTTTAATTCATGATTTTCTTCTGTACACTAAAAATTAAGTAGCTTTTTTTATTTTGACAGCCTCCGACTTAACGAAGTATAAAATAAATCGTAAAACTAACTACTTGTCATTGATTAACAACCTCTGGTTCACTTAATCATAATTAAAAATATGAAAATGAGAGTTCAACAATATTTAAAGTCAAGTAATAAATTCAACAAGTATATTAAGTAAAGTAAGTACTAAAACTATCAATATCGAGCTGCTTAATAACTGCCTTTATAGAATTTAAATTTATTTTTGTAGTAAATTCATGTTTATAACCTAAAAATATCGTAAAAGTAGCGAAGGCACTTCATACTCTTGAGCTTACTGTCGAATGTCATTTCATCTACCCTGTTTCTTGCCGAGTTAATGCCAAATTCTTAATTTAAATATTATGAATCCGTTAAAAAGTATGGTAGATTTTGTTTCCGCATTTATTTTTACTGACATTTTTGTGACGTGGTCTAGCTGTTTTAACGCACATTTAGCTGCGATTGCGAATTTAGACTTATAAGTATTAGGACTTTTAACAATTATTACGAATAGTTGTTTATTTTAACCGTTATTTCCCCTCAGGTACTTGTTTTACGAAGTTAGTTGACTATTGTACTCAGTTTTGACACTCTTCTTACAAAATATAGTTTTAAAAGATTTTTAAGCCACGTTTTGTAATAACAGCGCGAGTTTATTGGTGTTAGTTTATGTGTTAAAAACTATTTTCTGCGTAGCCTATCTATGGAAATAACATGCCACTGTATGCGTATACCTAATTAGGTATCAGGAACAGTTACAATCTAAAAATTGCGTTGTGTTTATTTTTTATTAAATTATTGCAAGAGAACTTTTGCATACTCTTGTAAGAAAACGCTGCGTTTAAAACGCATAAGTAATTCGGCATTTGTAAGGCACAACAATCTACTTGTTTAGATCAATTTAAACGCCCGGGTAGTACGGGTATGTTGGGAACATAGACAGCGTTGGGAAAGGCGACGTCATCGTCCCTGGCAGCGCCGCGGAGAGGGCGGACCCGTACCCAGCCGGCAAGGCAGTCGGCAGAGCTGTCGGCAACGTGTTGTACGTCGACAACATAGGACTCGTGTTTGCGTAAGAGAATATAGGAGCCGACGTGCCGTAAGAGAAAACTGGCAGAGATAGGGCGGGGGTCATTTGAGGAGGCATGGCATACGGCCTCTTTGCAGGCGCCGCCTCCGTGGGCTGGAAGGCGCGCTCGTAAGACCGTTTGGTTGGCAGCATTGTTTGTTGTTGCAGCATTTGAGACATTTGTGGAAGTTGGTAGGCCTGCGCGGAGGGTGCCTGAGAGCGGACGGCCGCGTACGTGGGGAGGATGGGGACTATGGGAGGGCGGAGGGAGGCGAGGAGGAGGTTCTCGTGCTGGCGCGCGAGGAGGCTCTGGTGCGCGATGTGCTGCGCCAAGAGGCGCGGCGCGGGCGCGGGCGGCGGGGGGGACACCAACGTACCGGGGGACAACACCTTCGGGGACGTCGCCGGCGTCACGCCGCCTGTCAGCACCAGGTTCATGTCGTCGCCTGAGCACTGGAACACCTGCCACACAGATTGGTGTCATTCACATTACAGTTATATACCGGAATTTGATAAAAAGTGATATCGTATGAATTCTATTATAAGAGAAGTTAATTGCATACTCTGTGTGTTTAAAACATAAAAAAACAAAATAGACAACATAAAAAGTTCTGCCTAAATCTTAGGTGGCGTCAACTAGCTCCGTTTTTGTCATAAATGAATATGAATACATACCTCAATGTACCGCTGCTTCTTGCCAAAGGTCATGTATCGATGGTGTTTCTGCTGCGCGCAAAGGAACGCGCTCGCTTCACTGTCCATCTGGATAAACGCTTCGCCGCTGGGATGGCCCTGTCATGGAATACACAGGGTTTTAGTAAGGTTATTTAGCCCTGTCATGGAATACACAGGGTTTTAGTAAGGTTATTTAGCCCTGTCATGGAATACACAGGGTTTTAGTAAGGTTATTTGGCCCTGTCATGGAATACACTGGGTTTTAGTAAGGTTATTTGGTCCTGTCATGGAATACATGAGGTTCTAGTAAAGTAGTATTTAATTTTGTCTAACAAAGAAATGTAATTATATTGTAGGTTCTTATTCCTGTTCGCATAGGTAGTGTATTCTTGTAAAATTAAATTCTTGTATTAAAAAAATTATAAGTTGTCCTTTCAATTTCGCATTAAACAAAAACATTGACACAATAAACAAGGTCGTAACTATTGCAATTTCAACATCCATCATAACTACTTTAGCAGTTTAGGTGTAAAAGTGAAACGAACAAACAAACAGAATGACTAACCTGAGCATTGTATACCATATGTACGCCTTGCACCACTATGTTCTTGGCGAACTCGTCCAAGAACGTCAGTATGTGTTCCACCTGAAGAAAAATATAATAATGAGATCGGAAGCACCACGGGGTAGATTAGCAAATCTAATTTCCTCTGGATGGCAGTTTTCGTCAGCGAAATTCCCTGCAGTTCGACATCAGAGTCTGTCACCAATCAGAGCGTAATTATCTCTTCTGGGGAAAAAATCGCTGGTACTGTATTATTTAAAGGGAGCTCCTTAACGGTCGTAGATAACAGTAGAATAATAGATCTTAAGAGCATTTTCGCGATATCAAGTTCTAAAAAGTCAAAAGTAAAGTGGAAGGAAAGAGACCTAGAGGCAGAAATTCGATACGTTGGACGGATCAGATTAGCACAACTCTCAACACTACAGTCCTCGATGCTCTCCACAAGGCGGCAGATAGAAATAGATGGCGGAGAGTAATACGCAATAAACTGCTTCCACGAGGTGGTCATGACCCTCAGCAGTAAAGAAACCGGAGGAGGAATAATGTTATTTTATGAGTATTTTTTCCACGACTTTTGGCTTGAAAGTCGTTTGATATGCTCATAATCCTTAATCGTCGTTTGGGATTTATTTCTATCAGGAACTTCGAATTATTCTCTCCTGAAAGCAATCTGACCGAAAGTGCTAAAAATCTTTTTGAACCAAATTCCTTATATTGGTTACGTTACTTACTTGGGCCTCATAAGGTAGTCCCCTTAGTCGGACGCAGTCCTTAGCAGTTCCAGATGTGATGACATGCTGTGGTACTAAGGCTACAGGCAGGAGACCTTCCGCTGGAGTGGGGGCAGTGGAAGGCGTGCTGGACTGGCTCGTACGGGTCTCCAGAGACCTATTTAGGACCTGAGAAAGAGGATTATGGTTAGATTTGACGTAGTATTTAAGTCTCTTGAAATATGTGCTTGTAATAAATTATTGCTAGATCGAGACGATAATTTGATGATCCTGAAAAGAAGTTTTGAATTCGACTTTAAGGACAAAATTAACAGTCTATGACGCTTTTGACCTTTTTTGGTATCAGTTGTAGAAACAATTTTGTCTTTTGATTAACCAAGAGAAAGGTGATTTAACTTTCTTTAGGGTTTTTATGAATTAGTTTATTGTTATTAATTACTGTGTTTTAATCTTTTGTCCATTAGTTATATCCAATAAACATGCATCTAAGTCTTCGTCACGTGTTAAAAAATGTTAGTCCAATGTTCAATTTAAAATATTACCTAAGTTAAACTAAGTAAATTGCTGAGTACCATATTTAATACATAATAATAATAATCAAACGACCAAAGCCAATATATAATTCGCTGAATTATCATTCAGTGTAAAATAACACATCAACGTATCGTATATCTTTTGAATTAAATACTAATAACAATTACGTTATTTATCAGCATGACTAAGCAGTTTTTAATTTATATTATCATTTTAATTGATAATATAAAAGTATTAGATTAGATAGTTAGGATATTAATTCCTATACGCTACGATTTAGGTAATAACAATAAGATAAAAAATACAAATCTGTATTGCTAAGAGACTTTGGTTAGACATTTTCGCCGATCATAGATGGCGCTGGGGTAGTTTAATGGCGTATAAAGGTAATATCGTTTTGTTTACGTACCTACGTTACTTAGAGTTACTTTTATTTTCCTTTCCGATTAAACCAAATCGAGAAAGTAGAGATAAAACAGAATTACTAAAAAAAAAGTTTAACTAATCATAAAAAGGTTTACAAATAATAAATCACGCAAAAGTTTAACCTCAAAATCTATATCAATATCATGCAATATCTTCTGCGTTAATACACGTGTCGTAAAAAGTCCTTGTGCAATGCGGAACAAATCACTGTATGCGCATCGGCCTTATGGGCACATGTAGGTACTTACCGCTGTTTCCATGAGCAGGCTAAGACAAAAATCTTTTATGAAATACCGTGTGAAAATAACGCGTAAGTATACATACATACATATAAAACAAATCATTTTCTATAAGCCTATAAGTGCACACTGCTGAGCATTAGCCTTCTTACATGGAGAAAGCATTGAGCATTAACCGCCACGCTTGCTCAAGGCGGATCGACGATTTCAAGCTTATAATTAGAAATTATAAGTCCAGGTTTACTCAAGCACTATGTTTTCCTTCACCGTGTGTTAGCGATGTCAAAGTGTATAAAACTCGGAAAAAGTCACATTGGTACTTAACCTCTAGGCCACCAAGGCGTTATATGAATGTACAAAATATGTAGGTATAAGTATTCTACCGAAAGGTATATTACATCGTAGAAGTTGAACCTTGAACTGTTTTGAAACAAAATTGTCACGTCAGCCTTGACTATTCAGTACTACGGTAGGTAGGTACGGTACTAGTATCAACGGTAATTTTCAAATGACATCGTTTAACATAAACCGCCATTTGCATTTGATTGTTTGTGGTTAACTCTGTAGTCTATGATTGCCGTATTATGGTCACAGATAAAATAAGGGCTGAGCTATTATATGTACTTTGTGATCGTGTTTGTAGGCAGTATTAGAAGGGCCAGAGGCAAAATCGAGATTAGTATCTTATATTTTTTTGTTGTGTCAGACCCTTCGTGGTACTCTGCCATATGAGGTGCTGCTCACAATTTCCTCTTTGACTGGTTTATATGGTCATCTTAATTTACTATCAATTGCTATAATCGATTTTAAACTTTATTCTTTTCGAAGATAATGTCAAAAATCGATTAAAGAAAGACCGATTACGGATAGTTTGATGTGCTGGTGTTCAACTCGGTTGATAAGTGCACCTAACTTTCTTACTTAGGTCACAGGTAATCTAAGTACAATGGTACTAAGTACTTTGTTCAACGTCAATGTTATCGTAAAGGGCACGTAGCGTAAATTCTAGATAAAGTAAGGTGACGTTGGCTTGCGTCGTTGGTCGCGACGCTAGCTTACACGCTAGAAAAATCTCGTTTGTGGGGTTGGGCAAAATGTTATTAGGCTTTTAACTGTTTCAGTAGGAAGCATAGATAGTGGAACTTGGATTGGTATATGATGATACGCTTGCCCTTTCTTACTTGAGACTCTTAAAGCTTAGTGTTAAAAAGTGGCAGTTAAGTTTAATATCCATCACTTTTATTCTTAAATATTAGGATTTCGCTTAGTTATTTCGCATCGCCAACCATTCAGTTACTTTTTTAACAACCACAGCCCAATAAAAATAAGGATCTTTTATTGAATGTCTTAAATTATATCTATTTATAAGAAAACTGTCACAAAATCCGTTGCGTAGTTTTAAAGGTTTAAGTATACCTACATAGGGATATAGGAACAGAGAAAGCAAGTTTGTTTTATACTATGTAGTGATACTAATACATATCTAAAAAACCAAACATTGTTTGTTTAAGGTTGTTTTATAAACTCTTTACTGATTCTGAGTGACATTCTATTGGTCTCTATTATATATATCAATGTGTTTGAGTCAAAAAGGTTATCACCAGCAACAAATAGATAGGAGTTTTGAAGGAACCTTCCTTGTATGTTTACATTGCATCCTTTCTTATCCAAATGTGTCGATACTTTTCTATGTTTCTATGAAAAACTGAGTTATGACGTCTTGGTATTTTTGGAGTCAAATAGCTTACTTATTTCTTAAAAATTAGCTAAATTATATCTAAAATTTTGTGTATCGATCGACTGATGAATAAAAGTAAAGTTATTTTTCAATATTTTATTGTATTGAAAAGACGAATTAATTTATTTTTGACCTAGGAAACTACCCAATTGGTATTCTAAGATTTTTTATGAATTAATTTTGGTTTTAGAATACGATAAGTAATTTTTTACTTTTTTACTTCTCAAATTCAAAACTGACATCGGAGCTTAATTATGATGTCACTTCCTATACTTAAACGTCAAATAGAACACTTATTTTTTAAATCGGTATTATTAAGAAAATGTAAGTAATAGACCGATTTTTACTGTTGATAATTCGCCCCCATTGTTAAACAATGGCACAGCACCATTACCTTTTAATTTGTGACTTTCATTTGTTCTTTACATAGTGGAGACTTTTTGTGTTGTATAAAGTACTATTTTTATTTAATGTGTGAGTGATTGTATTAAAAAGTCGTTAAAATATTTTTTGACAGAGAAACTACTTAATTATTTTAAGGTGTGTTCTTGTAAGTACCCAATATAACTTTTTTCTAGTTATATGTACTTTATAAGTTTACTAAGACACCACTGACAAACAGTAAAGAAAAGCATCGAAAGGAAATCTGAATTCATAATTTTATTATAAGTTTGAAATCACCAATCTGCCTTGAGCAAGCGTGGAGATTAATGCTCAAACCTTCTTCGTGTGAGAAGAGGCCTTTGCAGCAGCAGGCACTTATAGGCTGTAGATGATGATTTATTTACTTATAAAGTCTTTGTCTACCGATAGAAAAAAAATGGAGGCCAATATTAAACGGAAAGCAAGTCTTGCTTTGTTTCTATTTTTAGCTAGAATTTTCCATCAAATGAATCAACATTTTAATTTAATTTTACAGTTAATAATATTTCTAATTCTTATACCAATTCCTAATCGATAAAGCTATTAGTTAGCGATTATATAATTAATATTTTGACGATGCAATAAAAACATTTTTTTTCCACTCGTCACGATGGTTATTGAAAATTGACATATGTCATGACAACGTTAGTTTTTGTATTAGGTATATACTAGGTATTTTTAACTACTTAGTCATATTTTTTTTATGTTATTTTAATTTATAATACTTACATACTTTTTACTTCTATTTGTGTAATATAGGTTACTTATCAGAATAGTTAGAGTTGAAATGCTACCATAAGATTTCTGTATATTATTACTTTCTATCTATTGTGTTATTAATAAAAACTTTTTGGAAACTATTAGTAGCATCCAAATTAATAGCTATATAGCTCTGTAAAGTGTAAACTTTATAAACTCAATCAAATTTCTTTCCTTCTTAAAATTCATTAATTAATTGGAAGTCTGAAAAAAGAACTAAATAGTTCCTAGTTTCGATGATTGGCCACTGAACCCTAAGGTTGACTGGCAGAGAATTTCTCCGCTAATCAGTCCGTCTTATGTACCTTTGTCAATCATATGATATGAGCATAAAATAAATTAATACTAAATAATAATTAATTAATGTTTAGGTAGTCAGCATTATCCGCAAATTTATGGGCTTGTTCCTTTGTAAGTATTCATTTATTATATTTCATTATGCTTTTCCACTTTACTCGATTTAACTTAATAGCACCTATTATATTCGCACTGCATCACCCAAAGGTTGGCTAGCGAGAATGCTTGCAGGCATTAAGCCTACCTATGTACACTCAGCTGGAGAGAAAAGGACCCCCCTATGCAGAATGTGCAGATAGCTGCATACATATTTGTACTTCAGGGAGGGTCCATTTCTCTGCAGCTGACCGTACTTTGTCGGTAAAGTCCCTTACCTGCTGAACTTCAGCCGTAGTCGACCGGAACAGTTCGATGTACCGAGCTCCTATAGATTTGCGATGTCGAGACAACGCCTTGGGCGCGTCATCTTCCTTGGCGAAGAGTACGAAGGCATCTCCAGTGGCCCTGCCATCAGCTCGTCGTACAAACAACACTCCTTCAGCTCCATCCAGCACCATCACTGGGTTCTCTCCCGCTGAGAAGAAATCCAGCTGCAAAATACATAAGAATTGACGTGTTAAGTGAATTTGAACTTTAATCTCAATGTGGTTGGAGTGATAATATCTAGAGCTTTCTTAAAAAGAGATAACATATAAATAAAAACAAAAGAAGAACAACGAAATTCTTTAAGATATGTAATAATTCAGAAAAAAAATTATGTTCACGATCAAGTTAGGCGAATTTCAACCTTATTTCAAGCGAGTGACACCCATTTTTCGCTGGTCATAAAATGAGTCTTGTGGTAGTCTTATTTTTAAAGAGACTGATTTTTACTATATTTTTTTATAATTAACTACTTCATCAATTAAAGGCAACTGCTTAAAAAGTATGAAACAAATTTTGAAAACAAAAATGCTTCGATATGACCTCAAGTAAAGTCACAGGGCGTAACTTGTAACAAAACATATTTATAGCAAAAGTACGATAGTAGTTTGTGCTCCTACATATTTCTAATCATTACAAAATAACCTAGAGGTTAGGACGCGACGTACCTAACAGCTGTCAACATTATACGCCATTATTATATTTATTATTCAGACGCCTTCTGATTGGTCCACAGCTCTGCACCGTCAGTTATTTAAAACTTATGTTTGCGAAATAATTTCCTTTTTAAAGCACTTTGAGAAACATTGTTTTGTCCGTTCGCACTGCATAAATTTCGCAGTGACTTTTGTGCTTTTTATGAGATGAGTCGGCAAACGAGCAGACGTGTAACTTGATGGTAAGCAATCGGCGCCGCCCATGGACACCCGTACCTAACACCAAGGTAGTTACAAGTACGTTGCTAGCCTTTTGGGGCTAAGGGTTGCGGATACTTAAGGATTGGGAAAGGATAGGAGAGCTCCCCCTCTCCGGATTGGGCCTCCGGTAACCTCGCTCACACGGCGAAACACGATGCTGCTTGATGCTTCGATACGAATGGGTCAGATCCATGAGAGAATACCACGGCCTCACAGAAAACCAGCGTGAAACAATCACAGTGTTGTGTTTCGCCGTGTGAGTGAGTTTATCGGAGACACAAAACTTCCCCTTCCAAATACCTAAATCTAGAAAATCTTAATCTCCAAAAGGCCAGCAACCCACTTGTAACTCTTGTTCTGGTGTTGCGGATGTACTTGGGCGGCGGTGATTGCCTACCATCAGTTAGATAATACATCTGCTAGGTTGCCGAACTAACACATAACAAAAAAAAAATACCTAAGTCACCTTAAAAATCTTTGCAACTTCTCTACAAGAAACTGGTCAAGATAAGCTATAAATAATTGGCAAAGACCAGAAGAAACAAGGTTCTTTAAAAAGAAAGCGTCCAAAAAGACACGGAATACTCACAACTTGTTGAGGTGTCGCATCGTAAGGCAACCCTCTCATCCGCACGATGACCTGCGCTCCACGGGACAAAAAGGCAGCAGCCTCACAAGTGGCGCCCCCTGCCACCGACAGGAAATCCTCACCGCTCGCACGGTACACCTATATGTGGATAAAACAAAAAGTGTTATGAGTTATAACGACCAGACTGCGCTTGTCCATAAAGAAGTATCCGGTGTTTGTATGATTATATGAAGAAATAAATCGATGAATAAGGATAGGAATCTCTTATTTTTATTGTTTAGACGGATAGGTAGATATAATAACATTTATATCTAGGTATATCCGAAGAATAGCTTGAATTCTCTCGGCTAAGGCTCGAATTCTGGATCAGTGTCAGGGGTCCAGGGACTTTAACAGTTTGAATGAAAACAAAAGGCCCTACGCAGCCAGAATCAGGGGTTCATAGTCTTTAATGAAAACTATTTATTTTTATAGCTGAATGGGCTGATGGGCCCTGGGCGAAATAGAATATAATTATTTACTGGCTCAGATCTTACGTTTCTTCGTTACTTATGTTTCTTGAAATTAAATAAAGAACTAAAAAATCTTTAAGAACAGAAAAAAATCAAATGCATCCACTGGCATTCCTGTGCTGTATTTAAGGCACATCACCTACACACAAGAATTTGCCATATTTAGTTTTAAGGTTAATTGGTCTGATCAGCGAATATTCTTCTTTGATAGGTCATATTTTGTTTATCGCTGTCAAAAAATTGTGTCAAAATGATCAAGGTTAAAATTGATAACTATAATCGTAATGGGTCGTTACCGCGTGGTTACAAATTTTGTTCTCTGGATCAATCAGTCTTACGAGAATTATCAGACAATCATGTCTTTGGGAAAAAGTTCGATCCCAACTAAAATATTTAAACCTCCTTTCTCTTTTTGAAGGAAGAAAATCAAATGAGTTCTATCGCCCATGGTAAGGAGAGAGGGTGTGTCAAACTGTCACTGACTGAAAACCACCTCGTTCCTTCTCCCGCTCCAAGCCAGGGTCGTGGTATATTATTGCGCTTGCCCCGCAACCTTGGCTGGTCCCTACTCTTTCATATAATAATGGGATTAAGTACAAGCTAATCATTCGTGTTCAAACATATTTTTAAGATAAGAATTAATCGCCACGCTCGAGGAGGATTTATGATTTCCAACCTAATAGCAATTATAGGTCCAGGTTTCCTCTCAGTGTTTTCCTTTACAGTGTGGTGTCTGAATCGACTTTAGTTGTATCCAACTAAGAAAAAGTCACATTGGTACTGAAAGCGGAAGCCTTGACCTCCTTGGACACCACGATCGTATTAATTCAAATAATTTACCAAAGTGTGTTACGTTACAAAAGCTCAACATGATTCTATAAAAATTATGCAAAGATCTCCTCACCTCAATGTACCGTGAGCCGATATGGTGCTTATGTCGTTTGAGCGCCATGTCCCTGTGCTCTTGAGACACGAACCGCACCAGCGCTTCGCCGTTACGTCTCCCTTGGGGCGAGAGGCACAGAGCTACTCCACCTCTGAAGAATGAGAAAAAACATTACAATATGTACCATACAACACTATCATTATCAGCTATAACTCCCACCTACTGCTTAACATAAGATTCCCTCGTTTGTATCCCAAGTCGGTCGATTGGAAACGACCTGTATCCAGCAGTGCTAAAACTGTCTGTAAGTTAAGTTGACTATCCACCTTTTGAGTAGCGATGCACTTGCCTAATCAATTGTTAGTCCAAACGAATATTATGAATGCGAAAGTAATTCTGTCTATCTATCTTTTCTTCCCGCTTAAACGACTGAACCGATTTCTGTGAAATTTGGTACAGACATAGTTTGAAACTCGAGAAATGACATAGGACAGATTTTATACCAAAACTCTGCAGGAAGTCACTATTCCACGCGAATGGAGTCACGGGCGAAAGCTAGTTGATCATAATTTTAACGAAAAGATGGTGGGGATGTTACTATCCTTCTTTCTCTTGACTTTTCTAGCCCTAGCTGGAGATCTTCTCTTTTTCGAATTATTTTATTTTTAAACTTTATGTCATAAATAAAATGCCTTAAGGCTTTTCCTTCCAGTCAACTGCAAGTGTCACACAAATTTTGAAAAAACATATACACATATACAATTACATAAAGATACTAGCGGATCATCCCCGATATCAATCAGCAAAATCGTTAGTGCCGTTTCCGAGATCACATGCTTTTTCAAGCAATCAGTGCCATCTGCCGGGCTGATTTGTGAATCTTAACTATCTAGGGTGCCTCTCGAACGCATACCGAAAAAATCATTTATATCGGTGAAGCCGTTTAGGCGTTTTCAATGACATACAGGCGTACATAAAAATTAAACATAATTATAAAGATTACACAATTACTTAATTATTCTCTCACAAGTGTTACTTACTTTGCAACATTGAGACCTCTAAAGAATTTGGCAATATCTTGATCTGAAGACTGCCACGGAAGACCACGAGCGCGGACTATGCAGTTACCATCTATTTCATCGTCTTTTGAGCTGAAACAAAAGGAGAAAACAGGTTAATAAGGTCGAAAATAGTTCTGGATATTTATTAACAGTTTATTTTGATCAATATCCTGTGGTAGCCCACTGTTGGACAGCGGGAATTCTCGTCATAAAGGAGTTTTTCATAGTTTAAGTGTGGAAGAGCCAAGTATTGGCACGAATGGGTCGGCTAGACCATATTGATTCCATGACCTCATAAAACCGGCGTGGAACAACCACAGCTTTGTGTTAAACCTTACGAGTGAGGTTACCAGAGGCCCATCATCAATTAAAATCATCAAATGACTTCTCCCGCCCAAGATGAGGCGAGAGGAAGTGACAGAGTCTTACTGACGAAAAACCCTCCGTTCCTTCTCCTGCTCTGGGCCGAGGCCGCGGTGGCTCATCCGCAACCCCGGCTAATCATTTTTTTTTAATGTTGTATTAGTCGGCAAACGAGCAGACGGATTACCTGATGGTAAGCATTCGGCGCCGCCCATGGACACCTGCAACACCAAAGGAGTTACGAGTGCGTTGCCGGCCTTTTGGGGATAGGGGTTGGGGATATTAGGATCGGGCAGTGATAGGGGAGGGGGAGGGATTGGGCCTCCGGTAACCTCACTCACACGGCGAAACACACAGCGTTGTTTCACGCCGGTATTCTGTGAGGCCGTGGTATCACTCCGGTCGAGCCGATCCATTCATGCCGAAGCTTGGCTCTCCCACACTTGCTCTAGCACTTGGATCTCAAATGTACAGAAGCTTTATTCGGTTCTTACGAAACCCAGGCCGAGTAGGGAGTTTATTTACTAACCGTTACGTAGTTATTAGCTTCAATAAACAATATTGTTATCTGTCTTACAAAGTAGAACATTATACATAACCAGTATATGTATACAAATTAAAACAATGCGTATTGTAGTCGGAATCAAAGTCTGATTAGAGAAATATTATTTGTACTATTTATAAGGACTTTTAAAATTAGTGATCCGACAGAGAACTAAAGTTGTTGACATAGCCCAAAGGATTAGCAAAAATTGAAGTGGCGGTGGGCAGGTGACATTTGTTGAAGAACCGATGACCTTTAGGGTAGACGTGTTCTAGAGTGGACGATATCCGCAGGGCGAATGGCAGTTGGATGAGAAGAGCTGGACATCGAGCTCAGTGACGTGCAATTGGGGAGGCCTATGTCTAGCAGTGGACGGAAACAGGCGAATGATGATGATGAAGCTCTTATAGTTAGTTTTTTTGAATGGCAATATTTGGCAAAAGCGAGCTGTGAAAAAAAAGCGCCACATTCGACAGATATCGACTTCAGTAACTAACAAAACAATTGACGAACAAAGCTATTATATCTATAGAGTATCTCAACTCCTTTGAATGGATCGCAAAATGTGTTGGTTAGCGCATAACTCAAAAACGCCTGGACCAATTTTGCTAAATCTTTTTTGTTGTATTTCTTATTGTCAGGAGAAGGTTCTTATAAAAGAACATATTAGAAAAGTGGAGGGGAAGATTAGAAAAAGTGACCCTTTGACAGCGAGATAGTTGGACCCGTGCGAAGCGGGGGCGGACCGCTAGTTTTGAATAAATTCATGAGTTTAGCTTAGCAACAACATTTTAATTAGATCATAATAATAAGTAGCTATAACAATGGCTTCCTAAACACATAACTTGGCGTAATTTCTCACGGCTGACGGACTGGCGTTCGTTTGAAACGTCGTAAAATTCTCCCGGAGATCATAGTAATATTGTGATACCTATAATAAAAATGTTTTATCACATTTAGAACTTCTATTCTTGTATTTTGTGTAGCATTTTTGTACTCAGATATTTAATTACCTGTGATACCCGAATGAAAAGGAGCTTAAGTATCCTTAAGTAGCCTTTGACTGCCGACATAAAACTATTGACGGCAAATCCTCCGCTAACGGAGGTCACCGGTGACGCCCATGGCGTTTAACGTGTTAATGAATGACCTACCCTTTTGCCAAATTTCATTCGGATCCGTTGAGTAGTTTTTGAGTGATTGAGTAACAAACATCTACCAGAACTTACAAACTTTCTTGTTAATACTACATTATATTATAGATATAATAATAAGGAAGTACTCACAGTTAGTTCAGATTACGTTTTAAATAGTTTTTTTGTGGGTCGTTGAACAAACGTCTGCTTAAGTCTTTAAGGAGTGTGGGAAACCAATCTGACACCGAGTTCTCGCTTTGAAAGACATTGAAATCAATGGAGTAAACTGTTTTTGTTTTGAGGTGAGAATATCATCAAATGAGTACATCGGTCATCTGTGGGCGGGGCGAGAATGAGTGTCAAGACTCTTTTTGACTCAAAACCACCCTGTCTCTTCTCCTGTTTCCTAAAGCACGTCGATTCTATAAAATTTGTTTGATTTTGAATCGTGTTCAAATGCGAAGTGAGGGTCGAAGTGACGGAGAAAATTAATTTTAGAATGCCACTTTTAACGTCATCTCATATTTTATCTATCAAAATGTTGCTGTCAATTTAGTTTAACTCGCAAGTGTAGCGCTAGTGTACTAATACTCACAGCGGATTCAGATTCGAAGTTTAGAATGAAGTCTTACAGAATCACACTGCAGTAGGTTATTTACGCTTGCTACTACTACCTGAAAAATAGGGTCTCCCATTAGCGGCAGATAGAGGCAGTTGAACGCTAAATAACACGATTCTGACATAGCTCTTAAGCTTCTTCTTGATTTTCTCGTCAATCAAGGGTGCTGCTAACTTCATTCAAGACAAAATAACATTAATTATAGGTACTTGAAACTAGTGGAGCATTCCTCGATCAGTTACGTGAGTAATCCAAAGTAATATTATTAATGTACCTCTGTCTGTCTGTCTGCGTGTCTGTCTTTTCTTTACCGCTAAACTACTGAACCGATTTCTGTTAAATTTGGTACAGACTTAGTTTGGAACTCGAGAAAGGACATAGGATAGTTTTTATACTAAAAATCTGGAGAAAGTCACTATTCCACGCGAACGGAGTCGCGGGCAAAAGCTAGTTCTTTATACGGAATTAATTTAGTATGCCTCACGATAATTAGGTACTATATAAAAAAGACAATAATGGCTACAAATAGATGCACTATAGTCGTGTTAGCTTTAGCTCAAAATTGGTAAGGAGGTAGCTAAGAACTGGAAGAAGAACATAGGGTAGAGTAGGTAGCGCAATAGATCTTTTAGGAACAAAATTGTGTACTGCGCAGCTAATCGGCTAACTTCAGACTCGCCAAGATACGTTGGCGGTATTGTAGAAGCCGCATGTAAAAGCTAGTTTTAAATAACTAACAACAGTGGTATCATACATTTCAAAACCACATTAGCATGACCTACATATATATACATAATGGAATAATCCCAGCATTTATCAGAACCTATTTAATGACAAGTTTATAAGCAAAGCTAGTATCTATGAAACCCTATAGCCATTGGAATATTTATATCAATGCTGATAGCAGCGTACTTGACCCTAACCCGAGATGTTTAACATATTATAATAACATGATGTTAGATAAATGTAAGCTAGTTTCACAACGGTCTTTTCCAACATCTGATTGGAATTGGTCTTTTTCTAGTGATTAGGTACTGGAGACATCGGAATATTCAGTGTAATACTAGAAGAAGAAAATTAAGAAAGAGTAAATACTTTGAGGCCTTTTAAATTAAGAAAAAGTAAGACTTTTTCTTAAAGCTGCGTCGATTTAAAAACTTTGCAGTCATTATTCAAAAGAAAGATTGAAGATACTATTGATTTAGTTGAAGTATTTATAATATTCCTATAATTATCGGGTGTTATTTTTTTAGTAGCGTTGGGATGCTCATAGGAGGCAGAAGTTTGTAACGACCACCTCAAACATGAATGTTTCGATACGAAGCGAAGTATTAGCAAGAATAAAAAATATCTTACTGATATGTGACTATAATAATATGACTGACATATCAGCCAGGGTTTGAAAGCTGCTATAGCTACCTTTGTTTTTATTAAAACGTGTTCAACGTTTAACAACATTACAACATTAGAATTTTCTCAAGTGGGTGTGTTTCCACTCATACAAATTAACATACGGAATTGGTACCAGAACTTGGTCTCATAAAGTGTTGTTTCGTGCGGGAATCGAACCTGCAATACGTTGCACTGTGCACAGCAGCCAGTGTCCTAGCTATTGTGCCAAACGTGCAGTCTTAATAGTGTACCGCGGTTTCGACTCGGGACAGGAGAAAGAACGGGTTTTTTTCAGTCAGTAAAAGTATGACACTTCGTCTCAGGACGAGACTTGACATTGGATAACTATCGCCCTTAAAAAAGTGTCATTATTTGACATGCGTGAGATCCGATGTACCTACCTAACTTTTCGATTTTCATATTCGGGTAACTCTCTAATTGTATCTATCACACATTAATAGCTAGCAAAGACGTAAAAATACCAGCAAATAGGTTATTACTAAGGAAAAGTGTAACGCAAGAAGCGAATGTCTTCGGAAACGGCGAACAATCATGTTACATACATATATTATGTGTTTTATTATAATAATAACCTGAGAGGTACCTACGTGTGACAGGTCACAGCAGACAATGTGCATTATATCTATAGGACAGGCCAAATCATAACATTGCGAACAATAATACAAACGCCACGATATACTTCGGTCATTTCAATCCAAGATGGCGGTTGAAATGTTAAGTTCTTGGAAATGTACGAGTATGTTGTTGTGAAGGAGTTTCTTCTGTCAAAAAATAAATTAGTAAATATTTTTGTATAGAATTGGATATTAAAATGTAGGTATGTAAACATATCGACTTTTATTTATTGATTTCACGATATTTTTTTCTTTTTTTTAAGAACTAAGTATTCTATTTGACTTGAAAACGAAATGACGCGACATTTACATTTCTATACTTACCAAATCTTAACTTTAATAAAAATGTATGAGAGCCGCTAAGTATCGCGTCCTACCAAACCGTATAAAAGTTATGAATTTGACTTGTTGGAACCTATTGTATTAATATAATGAAAATGACAAAAGTAAAGAAAATATGGATGTATTGGATATTATAATCTTCTATTATTCTAAATGAATATATTCTTATGTGATTTCCATTACGCTTGTTTGCCTCCCACCCCTTAAAAACACCGTGAAAGAAAAAGGAATAGAGATTGCACCATTTTTTATTTCCGTCTTTTGTAATTGTTGTTGTATTTAAAAACATTTTTTTTTCTTACGGTAGGTATTTATTAAATGTCACAATTTATTAATTTTTATTAGGTACCGAGCGGTGTGACTTAGAATTTGACAGTTACATAATATTTGTTTTTCGAATAGGTATCAAAAATTCGAAAATAAATTCCAAATTCGTATTTAAAACTCGATTGTATCGGTCCAATAAAACTGTAAATAGCGCTTTGCAACACAGCGATGGAAACGCACACCGATTTGTATTTGAAATTAAAATTGGCAGTTGGTTCCTTATCTTGAGAATGGCGTGACGCATTTGTTGCTACTCGTTTAGTATTACTATACTGAGGTAAAGGAAATGGATTAGTGTATTTTTTTACAGTATTTTCAGCATAACTGAAAGATAAGTGTGAAAGAGACAAAACATGCTTCGGCACGAATGGGCCGGCTCGACCGGAGTTATACCACATCATCATCATCATCATCAGCCTATAAGTGCCCACTGCTGAGCAATGGCCTCTTCTCATACAGAGAAGGTTAGAGCATTAATCACCACGCTTGCTCAATGCGGGTTGGCGATTTCAAACTTATAATTAGAAATTATATTACAAGTCCAGGTTTCCTCACTGTTATACCACGGCCTCATATAAAAACATGAAACAATCATAGCGATGTATTTCGCCGTGTGAGTGA